CGGGGGATGACCGGAGCGCGGCGTGGCGGCAAGTTTGCTCGCGGAGACGAGGACGCGTTCGCGGAATCGCGAAAGCGACGCGGCGGAGCTTTGGTCCCGCCTACACGGATCTTATTCGTGGCCGCGATGGCCGCTATCCCGTATCTCCGATTCTGCGTTCGGAGCGGAGTCGTGCCTCGAAGGTGGAGACGCGGCTGCGCGCCGCTCTCTCCCTCTCGCTCTCTGCATCACCATCCCCCTTCGTCCCCGACGTACGTTTCGCGGCGTACGTGTTTCCCTCTTCGCGTTCACTGCGGGCACGCACGCACGCACGCACGCACGCACGCACGCACGCACGCACACGAGTTTGCTCTCGACCGGCTGGCAGAGGGCTGCCAAGCTTCGCGGCGATCCATCCCGCCCTCCGGCTGCGTCCCACGTCGCTCTTCCACCCCCTCTGCGTCCTGCGCGTCGCTCTGCGCTCGATGCCCTGCGCCCTACTCGGCTGTCTCGGTAATCGGTCCCACCCGAGTCGGTCGATCGACTCGCGCGATCTCTCTCTCTCGGTCCGTAGCCGGCGCGGCGCTATGGCGAACCACCACCTCCGCTTTTCGTTCGCGTACCTCTCGGCGCGGACCTTGTGCGCTTCGATCGTCCGCGGCGTGCCACCGAGTAACCGCCAGGTTTTCTTCTGTCGAGCAGATGCCGTGGTGTTAGCTCTCGGGGAGGATGTTCCACGGGGGCGGAAGCAGCGGCTACGGCGCGAGTTCCGAGTATCAACAGCAACAGCAGCAGCAACAACAACAACAACAACAACAACAACAACAGTCTCAGCAACAGCAGCAGCAACAACAGCAGCAACAACAACACAGTCAACAGCTTCAAGCACCGGTGTACGTACCGTCGTCGAGGCCCACGGCAATCCCATCGGCGGCGACGGCGGCAGCGGCAGCCGCAGCGGCCGCCGCCGCTCAGTACCACTCGTTCCCCGGCTCCGGCTCGCCGCCGACTTGGTAAGCAACGGCCGACTCGGCAGTGGCGTCCGCGTCGGCCGATCGCCGTCGTTCGATTCTACCTAGCTCGGTAAAACGCACAGCGATTTGTTGTTGGTTCTCGGTGGGCAAAAGGGAGAAGACCGCGGCAGCGGCGGCCTCGTGGCAGCATGGGGTCGAGACGTACGCGGCCCACCACGCTCTCGCGGCGGGGCACGCGAGCGGATCGGCGGCCGCGGCCGCGGCTGCTGCAGCCGCCATGGGCCAGCACTCGGGCCACCACCCTCACCCTCACCCTCACCCTCATCCGCATCCGCACGCGGCCCACCCGCACACCGGACACCATCACTCCAGCCTCGCCGCCGCCGCCGCCGCTCCGTTTTACGCGCAAAACGTCGCCATGATGTCCTCCTGGCGCGCCTACGACGGAGCCGGCTTCCAACGAGCCTCCCCTTACGGTTCGTATATACGCGCGCGCG